AGAAAAAGAATATAATAATAAAGTCTTGAATAAATAATTTTCAGATTTATTATTTTCATCTTTAAATATGATTTAAAGATTAAAAATAATAAAAGGATTATAATAAATGGTGGTTAAAGGTGGTTATGAGCAGATGTAATTCTAATTCTCTCGTTGAGAGCGATTCCCATTCTCTCGTTGAGAGCGTCTCCATTTTGGCCTAAATTTGATCGTTGAGAGCGAGTTCCTATTCAGATTGGATTTGCCTTAATCCATTCTTCCTTAATCCATTATCGTGCTTTGCTTGTTCTTTCTCCAGATTGGATTTTTCACTGGTTTTTAGGGTTTTAGTTCGAGATGAACAAACCTAATTGTGTGGGACAAGATGATGAATTGGCTCAGCGGCTACAAGAAGTATCACTCTCTGATCGAGAATTCTCGTTCATCGACATTGCGAAGACAGATATCAAGAACAGCGACGAGGAATGTCAACGCAGCCTTTTTGGTAAAATAATTGGGGAAAGGAAGGCTAGCTGGATGGGGCTAAAAAGAACTATGCGCAACATTTGGCGGCTCCAGCAACCTATGGAAATCAAAGAACTGTGCGACAATTATTTTCAATTTATATTTCAGAGTAAAGAAGATCTTCGGCGAGTGGCGTCAGGCGTAAATTGGATCTTCGATAATCAGTACTTGATTTTAGCTGAATGGCAACAGGGTCTTTCTATCAATCACCCTGTATTCTCAGTGCTACGTCTATGGGTTCAAGTCTTTAATATCCCCCTGAACTGGTTGAGTGCGGAAGTCGGCATGAAAATCGGTAATGTATCCAAATCTATGGATAATGTGGTGATTTTTGGAGCTGGTAATCATGGTGGTAGGGTTATGCGTTTGCTGGTCTCTATAGACTTAGCTGAAGCTCTACCTCGTTGTGTTAATATCCGTTTAGAAGATCAGGCTGCCAATGTTGGTTTTAAATATGAAAGGCTAGTGAATCTTTGTCATTACTGTGGACACATTGGTCACCTTGATCGAGAATGCAAGGTGTTGGGTTCTGTTAGGAACGTCAAACAACATGCACAGTATTGAACTTTATCGAAATAAATCCTAACGCGGCGGAATCTATAGTTAGGATATGTACGTTTACCTTTTAAAATTTTGGCCGA